ACCCCAGGGTCAAAACCCCAACAACGCCGGAACACTTGCCTAAACTCAAATTTAAAGCACCAGCTAGGAACAGGAGCAAACACCCCAGGATAAGGCTCTGTGCTGGCAAAACACCAAGGTGGATGTTTTCTAGGCCTGCTACCCCATAACAAAATGATTTCCTATTGCACACACACAAGTGTGTGTCAATTCACTGAAGGGAAACAGAATGGAAAAAGGAAAAAGGGATCCTCTGCAGTACAGCATTAGGGCAGGGAACACTAAGCTTCATTTTACAGAACTGAAGTTCATAAAAGATAAAATTTTGTACACTGACAGAGCTAGAATGAGGCCTTCTCTCAACACCAAACTCTCCCACTAGGAAGCCCCCTCAATGGCAAAGCACAAACAACGCAAAATCTAACGTGACCGCAGGAAACACATTCCAGATAAAAACTGGGCGCAGGATGATGGTGGCACAGGGGTGACTTGGTGATGGGAAACCGGCGGGGATTACAATCGAGATGGAAAAAAAAATGTGCAAAATGATATAAAAATAAACTTTGTAATAAATAAAATAAAATAATAAAAAAAAACTGGGCGCAGGAAAAGCAGGCAGCTCAGTCAAAAATATAGATGTAAATAAATTTCTGCAAAGGAAAGAATGCTCCAACACAATAATAGTTATCATTTATCCAATTAATTTTCAACTACCCCAATTTAAAACAAAATGTTTTTAAAAGACTTTTTTAAAAGGCTGACAGTTCTACTGAGCTGCGAACATGGTGGAACTGGTGTACCTCTCTGGAGGGCAAGCTGGAAAAACAATCCATTGTGGAAACACGCGCAGGACAGGGTCACTGTGAAGTCAGAGTCGCAGAGGCCTCAACAGATCCTGCAGGCTTTTTAATGCTGAGTCAGGCACACAGGCAGGAGGCTGGGTGTAGGAGGCAGGTGGGAGCCTGGCTACCTGCCTGCCAGCCCCCAAGCAGCTCTCAGGCCCCTTCTGCTGCCTCACCTCCTGCAGTCACGCCCTGCTCGCCCCCATGGCCAGCCTGCCGCCCTGTTAGGCCTCGCTCGGCACCGGTGCCCACAATTATACGTGTGTGCGGTGCTATCTGGTCCCAGGTGCCCAGAATCAAAGGTACGCGGACCCCGCACCCACAGGTGAAGCCATAAAGGCTAGAGGCGGGCGGGTGTAAAAGCCTGACTTCATTTACGCTATAATTGCAAACTTTAAAACATATACATCCTTTGACCCAGCAATGCCATTTCTAGAAATTCATTCAGTAGAAAACAAATATAATGCCAAGGTTCCTGTACCTGACATCATCAGCACCTGAATAGTCTCATGAACTTTTTGCTTCTGACAAACTGTTAGTAGGAACTGTTAAGCCTTCAGAAAATCTTAAATGCAAAATAAGGAAATAAAAGTTTAACAGGAAAGCAGGAGAGGCAGCCTAGGACCCTCTGGCCTATTGGGCCATTTGTCAATTAGCTCGAGACCACTCCTGATCAGTCCATTCTACAATGCAGCCCCAAAGCCATGGGCCTCTCTACCACCCACAGCTGGAGGGAAGCACAGGGTGGGAGCTGGCCAGTGGGACCCGATGTTCCTCCCGGTATCCCTGCCCAAGGGGCTGCATGCCCTCGACGGCATGGCAGAGCCACTGCCCTCAGTCATCACTGCCCGCCCCTGCTGCAGCTTGAGCCCCAGCGGGTCACTGGTAGCAGGCAGTAAAATGCCCATCACCCACTGCTGCTTGCACTACCCACAAGCAGTGCTCTAGGGCCACCCAGAAAGCTCCACTGCTGCTCCCAAGGCTCCTGCCACTCGTACAACAGTAACAAAGGCCAGTCCCGCCCAGTGGCTTGCGCTGCATGTCGGGCTCAGGATTCACTACTTGTCACATTGTGATCTTGAAGCACACAGTGCATAGGGCTAATGGACACCCATGATAGAACCAACATCAAAGCCGAGGTGACCATGAACTCTACAAAATCCGTTTTCAGTCACACTGTGGCTGTAAGGCTGGAAGTACACCTCATGGGAGGCTTCAGTGATTACAGTTGTAAAGACTTATCAACTTCTTAATTTGACAGGTAAGAGGATGGCACTCAGTGACACTGCGTGTGACAGAATTTGACCAAGAAGAAAATGAAACCACTTTCCGATCATTCATGGCATTGCCGTCAACTAGAGAAGGTAGAGATTTAGAGCCTCCTTCCAAGACTGAGGCCCCAGCAAGGAGCTGTGGGTTGCACAAGCACTTCCAGCTAGACCCCTGGTTAGCATTTCTCATGCAAAGTCAGAACAACTTTGGAAAGGATCCTATTCCTAGATGCCATCTCCAGTGTGGATTTCTGGTTGCAGCAAGATGATAAACAAATACTAGAAACATTTTCATTTTGCTTCCTGTTGAGCCCCCTGACTTTGCAGAATACATTAGATATACCTTGATGTTTTTCAAAAAAAAATACCCACCTCCAACTAACATATTGTTTCCTTTTGGGAAAGATCTCTTCTTCAGGAACCTCAAAGAGCAATTACCCAAGAAAACAACTTTCTGGAACATTGTGAGGGTTTGAAAGAATATGGATTTGGAATCTACATGATTCAATCTTTGATCTCCTTCCTTACTCGGTATCTTTCAAATGGTTTTCAAAATAAAACCTTATTTTGGCAAATAAATAAATAAATGGAAAGTAAGACAGTAGTAAGAAGGAACAACAGGATTATATAGTTTTTTGTCTCCAAAGTAGAGGAAATCTAGCATTCAACTAAGTCAGTTAAAAGGAATAAAAAGTCAATGAAAAGGGAAATACTGAAATAATGAAAAGAGAATGCAATATCCTAGAATAGTGGTTACTTACTCAGAAGATTTACTGGGAATGCTCTCATATCAAACACTCAGGTCCCATTATGAATTAAAATTTCCAAGAGTGGAAGTTAGAAATGGGAATGTACAGCCTAGCCAAGGAATTCCACTAAACAGCCCTGATGAGACTCACTACAGCAGCGGTTCACTAGCTTCGTGTTGGTTGTATTCACCTGAAAAGGCTTTACCCCGAAACAAATCTGAGAGCAGAATGTGGGCATGGTTTTTCTCTTTGACTTTCCTGTAATTTTCATGTGCACAGTCACAGTTATGAGTCCTATGCCAGTATTTCTCATAGTGTTTTCCCAGTACAACAAGAATCACCGGTGAACTTATTAGAAATGCAAGTTCTTAGGCACCACTCCAGACCTACAAACTCAGATATTATGAGTAAAGACCGTCAATCTCAAGCAATCTCTCTAGATGGTTTTGAAATGGAAATCCTGGTATTTTCATATAATGACGGTAGCAAAATTACTAAGAAATGAGACTACCTTACTGGACCTTCTAATGTATAAATTAGTTCTCAAAAATATGTTTAAAATAATTGAGTGCCGGACGGAGCTGGAAAAGATCATGCTTAGTGAAATAAGCCAGAAAGAAAAAGAAAAATATCGGATGGTTTCGCTCATAGCAGGAGTATAATGGACCAGGCGAGAAAATAATAAGAATAATGAACAGCCATATACCAGAGGCATTTTGTGGGAGTGGAGTGGGGAATGGGATCAAAAACAGGGGGGGGAGGGGGGGCTCGCCGGGGAAGTGGGAGGGGCCGAGGGAAGTGCACCGGACTATGGTGATGGCACATGGGTGACTCGGGGATGGGAAGCCCACGGGGATTACAACTGAGATGAAAAAAAAAAAAGTACAAAGTGGTGTAAAAATAAACTGTTATATTATAAAAAATAATAATAATAATTAAGTGCCTTGATGATCTGTGTATACCTCTTGATTATCTCAAAGCCTCTTGAAAGATGAGTCTGGAAAATATAAACTAATTTGAAAAAGCAAGCTGCCAGCAAGTTGCAAAAACCATTGGAAGGGCTCTTTTTTTAACTCAACTAAAATGGATCACAATTGATAGAGCAAAGTTAGTGGACGCTCCTTAATACTTCCAACTTCTGACTGATTGGGACAGGTGCATGCTGGCATCCGCCCTATTTCCCTATTGCTTCAAGCAATAGCAACAAAAATCTTGCACCTCTACCAAAAACCCACAAAACAGGAACAGTACGATGAGGTAGATATCCAGATCACCTTCCAACCAAAAAACACGTGTCGCCCCGAGAATGACGTTTTATGACAAAGCGAGAACAGGAAAGATGTATGAGCCTCTGAACAACTTGGTTTAATCTCACCAGGGGAGGTGGGAAAGGTAAGGAGAGTAGAGGACAGAGGAGTGGGACTGAGAATAAAGCGCTCAGCTTTGATATGGGAAAATTACGGTGACCCACCGCACTTGAAGGAGAAACCCTCAATTGTGAAAAAATAAACAAGGATGCTTTAAAAATAAAAGTATTAAGGCCCTCCCTGGTGGCGCAGCGGGTTAAAGCACAGCACTAAGAAGCTAAAGCCACTTCAGCATGAGTTCGATCACCGCCTGCCCCGGAGGTGACCACATGGCGCAATAGACCTCTCCTGACCCGCCCCCTGCTCCCCTCAGCAGTGTACTTCATCGATCTGCCTGTTCTGCTCCCCACTCTGTCTCTGGTGAATCCCCTCACCACCCTGCACCTCTGGCCTGTACCCCAGTTCTGTATGTATAAATAAATAAATCTTTAACTGTGAAAGCTAGGTACTGCAGACGCCTTGTCCAGTCCTCGAAACACGAACGCAGAAAGTGGGAGAACGAATGAAGTTAAATTTGACAATAAGGAATCGGGTCCCTTAAATGTTTCTCACGAGCCTGCAGAACCAGGAGCCAGCGACCCCCGTCCTCACTTCTGGCAACGCTATCAGCACCACATTCCCCCACCCCAGATGGCAAGTATCTTAAGTGGCAAACAAATTAGCAAACTGGTTTTCAGCCCATGAAGAGTGCAAGTGGAAAAATAAGCCTCTGTCCCAAAAGGATCTCTGGCCACACGCTACCCCACACTGATTCATCCGCCATCCTCAGCCAGTAATCGGGAAATTACAAACCTGTTCGAAGGAAAGAAATTAACACACCACTCTCCGGAAACTGCAGAGACTTCAGATGGAGCTCGCCATGACACTTACGTCCCGCCACGTTTATTTACGCATGCTCGGCGACGGTGGCGCGGAGAGATCAATTTGCATCAGCTGAAAAGAGCGCGTTCTGCTTTGACTTAATTTAGTAATAATTATATTTACACTCGTTTTGGTTTCAAGAGCAAAACTATATCCCCAAGGCCTGTCCAAGCGATTATTAGACTAGCTTGATACTAATTTCTGGGTATCTCACTATGGCTCAGGCACACGCTTAAGCATGTTACATAAACTTTCTTTCCCAACTTGCTGTGTTTATTTATTTATTCATTATTTTACAAAAGAGGACGCGGATAAGTACATGCGTAAGCCCGAGCTCTACTACTTACAGCCCTCCGATTTTTCCAGTTCTGCCTGACACCCAAAGAAACTGCTATTTTCATTATATATGTAGCAGATAATTCTTTGAAACCGTTTTTATAATAGCAAAGGATTGGAAACGCGCTCGCTTCTCAGTAAGTGATTGCTGATATATATTTATGGCCTGTATATAGCTCTTAAAAAGAACAAGCTTGAGTTTTTAATGTGCTATACAAGACATTAAATGGAAAAAAAAAGGTTGCAACATATTGTATACAGTATGAATAAATTGAATATTAAAATAAGTATAGTGTTTGAAATACTGGAATAGTATATTAGCTATGTTATTTCACTATATATTATTTATATGGCAAATAATAGTAAATAGTACATGCCATATAAATAATATATTTTGCATAATAGTATACTAAAAGATAAGTTATATAATACATATTTAATATATTAGTATTATCTTTGGTAGAATATATAAGTAATTCTTAATTGCATTGTGTCAGGAAAAAGAAATAGAGAGGCCAGAGGAAGATTTACTTTTCCCTGTGTACCACTTTGCACCTTTATTTTTATATTATGCAAAAAAATAAATGGGGACATTTTATTAAATTACATCACATTTAAATTTTAAATAACACTTGAAAATTAAAATGACATTGGAAAAACTATCATTTGCTGGTTTATCAGTCACACTATAGCGTTCCATCCTAATCGTCCTTTACATGAATATATAAATGTTAAAGCTTTTTTCATTGTGGCAAGATTTACGTAAGATTTACCATTTTAACCATTTTTCAGTGCACAATTGAATACATTCAGTTTTGTGAAATCATCACCACCATTTGTCTTCAGAGATTATATTCACCTTCTCAAGCTTTAACTCTGCCAATAAAAACGCTCCATTACCTCACCCCTACACTCTGGCAAGCGCCCTTCTACTTCCTATTTTCAGGAAGTTGACTGCTATAAGTACTTCATATAAGTGGAATCACATAATATATATCCTTCTGTGACTGGCTTATTTTGCTTAATACATCTTCCAGATTAATCCATGTTGTCGTATGTTAGAATGTCCTCCCTTTTTTAGGCCCAGTATTCTACTATGTACATACCACATTTCATTTATAAATCTTAAGTCCTATGCTTTTTTTCTCAAATTGGATTGCAAACTTCAGAAGTGCAGACAATCTACCTTGTTTTATATTTGCAATCCACAATATAAAGTCAAATGCTTTACAAATGTTCAATGGTAGACAAAATACTGGTGTATATCATACAAACTACAATGCCAAATGAATATAAACAGCATGTGAAAACGTTTTTGAGAACTTGTAAATGAGTGTCAGTAACCACATTAAGCCTTCTCTGTGAACTATCAAATTTATTAATCACAATAACATTGTAGTAACCCTATAAACTAATCCTCTTATCATTCTGCTTTCACAGAGGAGAACACTGAACCTTAGGCAATATGATCAGTTTTTTTAACAACTCTACATGAATAGTTCATAAGAAAGAAACTGTATACTTCATTAATGCAAAAGTAAACTAGAGAAAAATACTGGAAGAAAAAGAATGAATGCTAAAGAGTAATTGACATAAGTTTTTAATATTCTTTACTGTGAGAATTGAAAAGCAAATATAGTCAATAAGGAACTGATATAATTCTAACAATGTAAGCCACTAACCAAGAAAGACTAGAATATGAAAATTATAAAAATTTAAGAATGTATGTTTTAGATTTAGCTTTTGATCTAAAAGCCAGTGTCCCTACAAATTTGCATCATTCAATATCTGTTAATGAAAAAGGAGTAACGTATTTAATGATGTGTTTAACTCTTGAAAATGATAACAAGTGTACATGAAATTTTCTGTTGAGAAGAATGAAATTTTAGATGCACTAATCATTTTCTTATATAAGAGATAAAAATTTAATGTTTCTTCAATTTTTAAAGTTCAGCAGCTCAACATGTATTATGTGACTATAACTTCTCCCCTGCCTGTAACAGAACACTGACTAATTTCTTATGTAAAAAGAATTGGGTGGGGCATTTAAAATAAATTTAATGTTAGATGAAGGGACTTTGATTGGATCTGATAAATGAAGTGTCATAGTTCCCCCAGAAGGACACTAAACAACTAATGCAGTTTCCTAGGAAGATTTTTCAGGTGTTGATTTCGTAAAGGACTGGAGATAAGGCAATAAGCTAAGATATTCTCACAGGAGTCTAAACAGGAACCCAAGAAGAAAGATGACAGCAATAGAGCTAGAGAAAAAAGAAGGAATACAAGAACTTTGTCGAAAGAAAATGAACAAATGCTTCAACGTAGAAGGTAAATGAATGAATGCTTCAAGGTAGAAGATTAAAAATAGAAGGACGTTGATGTTTTTAAATAAACTGAGAAGACAAAAGATATTATAAAACCATGATATGAGATAAATTTAACCTGCTTTCGGTTTTAGTGTAATATTGAGTCTGGCCACTAGGGGTCAGCGTGCTATGCTTCTAATATCAGTCTATCTACACTAGTTGTATAGTTAATTTTATACTAGTTGTATAATTAATTTTATATTTTCATCCTCGCACTCTCGGTACAGGTGGTTTGTGGACTGTGCCTGTGGCCCTGCTCTCAGCAACAAGAGTACGCGTTCCCTCACGGGGCAGGCAACCCACTCCAGGCCAGCTTGAAATCAGGGCTCCTCTACTGGGAGAATCAGCAACTGGGGCTTCAGGGACCACCACGTGGGGAACCCGGCTTGGAACAGAAGCTATCCCAGAGAAAAGGACAGCTGAGCACTGAAGGCAGGAATCAGTAAGCTGTAAAGACAAATATATACCCCTTACACTCAGCATTTCTGCAGCTATGTTTCCTTCTAAGCTATTGAGTTTTGTAAACAAGTAAATTCCCTCCTTTTATCCCTTAAAGCTAATTTGAGTGAATTTTTCTTTTCACTTGCAACAAAAGGGAACTGGCCAAATTGCTTATATAATCTATGGGGGTTTTGTTAATATTTATATCTGGTGCATAATACACTGATCACTTTAATAAGAATCTGTGGGAAATAGATGTATGGTGATTTTTCTGACCTTAGGTAGTACATCAATAAATGATAAATTTGTTGGGAGCATGAAGTGCAATAAAGAGTGTTCAGAATGCTCAGAGTTTAAAACAAAACAAAACAAAAAGACCAAAATTTCAGCCCTCTGCCACATAGGTTAGCAGACAGCAATAAACAATACGTAGTAACATTTATATAAATGAAAGTACTACTGTGTATTGAAAGGTGATAAAAGATGATAGAAAATTTTTAATAGAACAGTTAGAGTAAGGTTAACCAAGAGTGAGAACTTGCATTTTTTTAAAGATAATGGTCAGAGTAGACTCACTGAAATCTTTGGCACAATGTCTTGTAAAAGATGAGGTTAGGAACCTCCCTGGTGGCACAAGGAATTGCGACACAGCACTATGAAGCTATCTGCAGACATTGCAGCATGAGTTTGATCCCCGGCCAGGGAGGTGACCCACATGGCACAGCAGACCTCTCCAGTCTCACCCACTGTTCCCCTCAGTATATTTCAGTAGCTCCACATGTTCTGCTCCCCACCCTGTCTCTGGTGAAATCTCTCACTCCCCACACCTCTGGCCTGCACCCCAGCTCTTGTATGCATAAATAAATAAATCTTTAAAAGAAAAAGATGAGGTTAGCCAAGGAATGTATAGATTAAGAAAAGTCAAGGAAAGAGAACCAATGAATGGAAAAAGCATGGCTGGAATGTTCAAGAAACAACAGGAAGGTCATAGTGATTGCAGGGAACAAGTATGTGACCAATAGACAACAAGTCAGTTAGTGAATGTAACAAGATCATGAAGAATTCAACGAGCCAGAAGTCAGGACTTGATTTTTGCACTGAAAGAAATGGAAGCTGGGGACTCCCTGGTGGTGCAGGGGTTAAGTCTCAGTGCTATCAAGCTGTCACCAGCCACTGCAACATGAGTTCGATCCCTGGCAAGGGAGATGACCCACATGACACAGCAGACTTCTCCTGTCTCACCCGCTGTTCTCCTCAGCAGTGTATTTCAGTAGATCCACCTGTTCTGCTACCCGACTCTTTGTTGAATCCTCTCACCCACCAGCCCAATCATGCACATACCTCTGGCCTAAACCCCAGTTATTGTATGCATAAATAAATATTAATAAAAGAAAGAAATGGACGCCATTAGAGGACTATGCAAAGAGGAATGGACCTATGGAGGTCAGTTAGCTCCAGGTAAATTCTGACAGTGTCCTAGGTAAGAAAGATAGCAGTGGAGGTGATAAAAGGAGGTACAATTTAGAACTTCATATAGATTTTAGTTAGAGTAGAAAGGAGGAAAAGAGAAATAAAGGATGATTTTAAAGTTTGGGGCTGGATTAGAAGAAAATGAAATTGCTATCAATGGAAACAGAATAGATGATGGAAAGATAGAGCAGTTCAGGGTGCTTTTTTTAGTCTTTTATTATTGTTCTTTATTTTTACATGCTTTCTGATTTTTTTTAAGTTGCAAAAACACAACAGTTAATTTATGAATAGCCTTCACTCAGCTTCCCCAGAGAGTGACATTTTACATAACTACAGCACAAATATCAGCAACAAGTAATAACCAATGTCTGATACTATTAACTGCCTCAACATAGGACAGTTTCTCTTTCCTTGTCCTGACTTGATACTTTTCAAGAATCCAGATCCATTATTTTAGGAAATGTATCTCAGTTTTACTTGGGCTGATGTTCCTTTAACTAAATTTGGGTTATCAGTTCTTGCACATGTCATGCCTGTCAGACTTGTTCATCAAGAAGGTACATGGGGGCCTCCCTAGTGATGCAAGGGCTTAAGACACAGTACTATGAAGCTATCTGCAGACATTGCAGCATGAGTTCGATCCCCGGCCAGGGAGGTGACCCACATGGCGTGGCAGACCTCTCCTGTCTCGCTCACTACTTCCCTCAGGCAGTGTATTTCAGTAGATTTCCCTGTTCTGCTCCCCACTCTTTCTCTGGTGAATCCTCTCACCCCTACATCGCTGGCCTACACCTCATCTCTTACATGCATAAATAAATAGAGAAAGAGAGAAAGTACATGGTGAGCACATAATAATATTGAAATATCTTATTTCTTGTGAGGTACTTTGAAACATGTTCACTCCACTGTAAAATGACTGTTTTTCCCTTTGTGATTAGTAAGTTTCTTGTGCAAAAATATGTTGAGATTATACAAGGATCTTATTCTCAGCATATATTTACTCAGTAATTTTAGCCGCCCTCACTGTTGTTTTTGTTCCCCCTCAATAATACTTACAGGCAATAACTTTTATGGAGGTATTTGCCAAATAGTAATTTTCTACTTCTAACAGTCACTGTTATTATTGTTGTTGTTGTTATTGTTTGATCTGTACTTCCCACAATTTGTCTGTTCAATTATTTTATTAGGATGGGGGCTTGGGGCATTTATGGCTTATAATCCATTGCTAGCATTGTTTCAATGCTCAGATAATCTGAGATTTGGTCATGAGTCTTTAGATTGGCTTCTGTGTTTGGGGCATATATTATTTTAAAGTGTTTCTTTATTTTCTGGAACCACAAGATGCTCCAGGCTTATCTTGCACTTTGCCTGCCCCATATCTGAAACTAGTTCTCAAAGGTGTCATTCCTTTGAGCAGGTAATGTCACTTAGAAACCATAATAGGAGCTATAGGTAAGCTCATTGCTATTGGATGTCATTGCTTCAAAACCTGTTTTAAACTTGGAAAATTTGAGTTGTATATTAGAACTCAGGTGGATTGTTAACTTGGCAGTTAGATTTAAACTTGATAAACTTGAGATATCTATTAAATATCCAATGAAATAGTTAACATGACAGTTGTGATTCTGACATTTATAGAAGTTTGAGATGAAGATATCAATGTGCATAGAGG